CAACGACAACTAAAATAAATGAGGGATGCAGGGAGATGCCATGTTAATGCCCTTCCCTACTCAGGCTTTTAAAGAAAAAAAAAAAAAAAAAGGTCTTTTGTGCAAGCTGTAAAGGGAGTCCGTTTGAGCTGTCCTCATGCACTGAGTGTTTATGGAAGAGGGTAACTGAAATTTTCTCCCAAAATGTTGCAGTTGTGCAGTTTTTTTGTCCTTGTCAGTCAGCTTGTAGGTAGAGTTATGGCTCAAAAACCTTTTGTAAATTTAGCCCCTAGTCCTAATTTGGGTGTATGCAAGTTAAAAAGTGCATCACTTTCCTCCAACTCTTATTACCAGACACTGCTTAAATGCTGAGCGTAGCCTAGAATAAAAAGTCAAAACGGCTCTGCTTTTAACTCGAGTGTGTGTGGATCCCTCAGGGCAGTTTCGTGGCAGTGCCACAGTGGTGTAAACCTCAGTGAGGCCTTTGCCCTTCACCTCCAGCGCTCTGATGCCAAGGAGAGAAGTTCTGCGCAAAGTCATGGACCGCCCGGAGCCCGGGCAGCAAATCCAGTCTGGAAACGTGAAGAGATAGATTTGGTACTTTCCTTTCTCTGTGCTTTTGTGTTCGGCGTTTGGTGTCAGGCATGGTGGGCAGCAGGTGCCTGGAGACTCTGCCAGAACCGCTCCATTGTGGTGAGATCTCTTAATTTCCCGCACGAGCGCTGAGCTGCCGTCTCTGCCTGTCCCCTGGGAAGGGATATCTGCGGGAGCGAGTACAGCCACGCACCTTGGACTCCCCTCCTTCCACCTAGCATACCTTCTCTTCCAGCCTCAGACATCGCTGTGAAGGATGTGAAGAACATCTGCTTTGCCTACGTTTATTCCCTGAGCATCTTTGGAGCGAGGAGCAGTTGCGGCAGGAGCTCAGGAAGTTTTCCAGCGCTGTTTTCTGCTGGTTGCCCACTTTGGTCATGGCCGTATTGTTCTACCCAAACACCGGCGTTGCTCTGGTTTAAAGCATGTGGTGTAGTTTCAGATGGGCATGGAGGGAATGGGTATTTAAAACATTGCTCTGGTGACCAAGTCGTGTATGTTTGTGACGGGGAACCCACGTTCCCCGTGTTGGGGATGTCAGCCGGGCAGTTTGTGAGCGTGCAGCCTCACGAAGGCATTTCTGCGTTTGTGCTTTTGGTGTCTCCGTGAATGAGTTTTCTTCTCTTTCCAGTCAAGCCGAACCTCTCTCATTTTTTAAAAGCGATTCGTTTCACCTCACCGGTGGCGTTTTTGGAAGTGCGTGGCCTTTGTGCCCTGAAAACTGTCTCTATTCCCCCTCCTCAGTGCTTTCACGCAACTACTCCATCCGTGTGCCGGAGCTGCCGGCGCGGAGGCTGTGGAGGACTTACTGCTTGCAGGGAGCTCGTGTGCCTAATGAGAAATGGGGCAGTTCTGCGGTGGAGCAGAGTCTCTAGGGATTTTGCATCTGAAACGGGGCAGTGGGCTTAATTAGCCCCTTCCCTAACGGCCTGGCCCGTCAGCCTGTGCCAGGGATGATCCTGGTTCAGAAACTGAGGGGGAGATGTCTGGATGCTCGCTCCTGGTTGCAGAGCAGGCTTGCTCCCGCTACTGCTCGCCTTCCCTGGGGACAAAGGAGATTTATATCTGCCTGAAAATAAATACAGATCATTTACTTGTCTCTGGAGGAAGATAAAATGTAAACTGTCTATTTTCTGTGATAAAGCACTGGAAATAGTTGGAATTTAAGATAATTATCTTTATTGCTTTTTATAGCACCCTGTGAAGGCTGAAATCTAATTTGTTTTTCACTAACAGGGAGCTCCTGCTGATGACTCAGAAAAATCCATTTGCCTTATTGACAAACTTGTCTGTTTGGTTATCGGGGCAGTATTCTCCTTGCAGGAAAAAGGAAATACAGGTCGTAACGCAACAGTGGGTTTTTAATATAGATTCAGAGTTTGATATCTATTGGCGAGAGGAAAAAAATAAAGTTGATCTAATCGGAGTGAAGCGACTCTGCTTTATTAAAGACGCTTGTAAATTAGTTTATGCTTTAGTGGGTGTGCACTAATGGCGCACAGTGCTTTGTTTAAGCAACTTCCATAGGCTTGAAGCTTATTAACTGGAGCTTGCGGAGAAACTGCTTTTCCTGGGCACCTGGTGCCCCTTGGCCATTCCCGAGCCCAGGCTTTGGGGAAGGAGGTGGAAGGTGAGATCCTGCCTCTTCCCTACTGTGCCTGTGGCCATGGGGGGCGCCGTGTTCCGCTCGGTTTGGACGTGTCGCTTGCAAGTGGCGTCGCCCCTTTTTTAAACTATTCTGCAGTCTGAATGTGAGGCGGGCTCCCAGTTTTTAACAAGCTCCTTGTGTATCCGAAGATGTTGAGCACCCCTCCTGCAACGAGTTGCTTGTCAGCCCAGCGCGGTGTCGTGGTTTTGAGGATCTGCTGCTGCTCCGGTACTATGGCTCTACAAAAACCAGTTGTCCGTGCTGCACTCTCCGCTGTTGGTAGAAAGGGGAGTGCTTTCTGCCTTATCCAGCCCTGTATGATACACACGTGAGAGCTGCTCAGAAGAAGAAACTGCATTCTCTGGACACACTTGCAATATCCCCCACCTCCCAAAATATCCTTTGGCTTTTTCAGGCAGTGATGTTTGAGGGATGGTGTGTCTGCAGGCTGACTTAGCAGAGACGTTTCTAAATTGTTCATCTCTGGCTCACCCCTCAAAAGTCTGTAATTTAATGCTGTCACTTGGGATAACGCTGCAAACCACTGAATCTCCTACAGCTCGAGTCCTAACAGGTTTTATCCAACAATGGAGAAGCAGCAACCTAGGGGTTAGTTATATTTTTAGGGAGGAGGGATAGAGCTGCACGAGAGTAGGCTTTGCCTTGAAGCAGAGCTCTATTTCTGTCAAGTCTCTGTAGCCCTCTACAAACACTCAACACAGCGAAGGGGAGAAAAACATCACTTTCTGTAAACATGAAATGATAGACCTGGGTGGGCAGAGCAGGTTTGTCTGTCTCTGAAGACCCGCTCAGTGTTTGCTCAGCTTTTTATTGCTTTCCTTTCAGGAATCGACTACAAAACCACTACTATCTTGTTGGACGGCAGAAGGGTCAAGCTGGAACTCTGGTGAGTGTTTCTGAGCCGCTTTGGCTGGCAGCGCAGGAGCGGTGATGAGCAGGGGCCGTGGTGCTGCGAGCAGGATGCCGTACCGAGCCGCAAAGAGTGCGGAGCATCCCCGGGCGCGCGGTGAGGCTTGCTTGCTGTTCTTCCCAGGGAGCTATGCTAGCAAACCAGACCCCTTTCTGTTAATCGAGTAGCACAACCAGCATGCTGTTCTTTGCTGGAATAGTCCAACTTCAGTCTTTCTCCATCACACCTGACCGTGTTCCCGCACAGCTCTCGATCACTGAGGGAGCAATTCTATTTTGGAAGCAATACTGGATTTTCCTGAAATCCTAGGATGAGAAATATAGACAGGAGGATGGGAAAGGAGGAGAAAAAAATGGGTGAAGCCCTTGGTGCCTACAGAAGCCTGGGTATTTCTCAATGACTTGAGTAGAAAAGTAAAACAAGAGCAGTGGATAGACCTCATAGTCAGCGTCAGAGGATGGTAAACCCCTGCAGGGGAGGGCTTACTGGAGTGACCTGACACTGGGATGGAGAAGGCTGCATGGGAGGGGTGACCCCAGCCTTATCTGTCAGCATGGGTGGGAGACCTGAAGTCCTTTGGTCCAGTTTTCTCTGAGGTTTAACCTGCTGAGAAGCTGACACAGCCATCCTGTAGATGAAAGAGGAAGGATAGGTAGCCTGTCCCTGTTCTGGGCTGCACCCACATCTAGCAGGGAATGACACAGGCCCTGAAACGTGAAGTTAAATAGCCCCTTTACCAACGCTTGTATTGAGTAACAGGAACATTAGTATTCTGTGTGGATCGTTAAAAGGGAACGAACGCCATGTTCTCGGCCTCAGTCACTGACTCTGGCAGTGTATAGTTTCGTGGTTTAATTATACCCCTGCTCTCTGAAGCTGAATGTCCTCATTTTTCTTACAAAAGAACAGAAGCAGCTAATTTATCTCTTCCAGCTTGAATGTTTATATGTGCTGCTTATGTTCTTCTGCCTCTCTTGTAAGACGTCTGTTTTAACAGTTCAACCCCAAGTGTGTAGTTACTTATTGCTTCCCTCTTGAAACCCTCCTCTTTTTCTACTGTAATTCTTGAACTGGAGAACCAGCAGAGAACCTGGAAGCTGGTAGCATCAGTTGATGATGCCTTAGTGTAATCTATTACCATTACTTTCCTCATGCAACCCAGTATTTGATTGCCGGGGGAAAATGAGACTTAGGCACAGGCTGTTAAATTGCTGTCCAGGACCAATAATATGATCCTTGAAAGCTTTAGATCTTAAAGAATGACTGTCCTAAACTTGACGTTGCTGTAGCTGGTGCAAATCTGTGGCTGAGGGTTTCGTCAGGCTTCTCAGTGGTCATTAATGTGTCTTTTATCCTGGCCCAGTTAATAAACGTGACAAACATCATAACATGTCTCTGATTACCCTGACACATTTCAGTATAAGCCCAGCACACCAATTTAACCAGTCCTAGGTGTTCCTGTGGGCACTGAGAGGTGCTGGTATGGTAGTCAGACTTATTTACGCCATGTCAAAAGTTGCAGTCGAGACAAATGATGGTGGCTGAATAGCGCTTTATTGTCGCAGCGGGGTAGAAACGCTGTTCCCTGGTCCTGTTCCTGAGCTCTCTGTAGGGTATGGTCAACCAGGTCTGTCAGAGATCTGGGCATAAAGATACTTCCTTTCATTTTTGGTTAAAACATGTTTGGAAAACCAAGCAAAACTAGACAGCGCAATACAATTCCTCCTGTCTCGAGGGGTTATGTTCATTTTATGATAGGTCATCTCCTCCGTGGCTAGGAGAGGTCTGCAGTCTCACTCTGACTTTGAACTCCTGTGGACTGTAGGGAACTAGAGAGAAAATCCTTTGCTCGAGGCAGTAAAATGACTTCAATCCTTGTACATCATAAGGTAGAGCTGAAGGCGAGTTGTTTTGGTTTGTAGCTTCTCCGTGGGAAGCACGCTGACAGCGAGGACCTCTGGAGTGTGTCTGACTGTAGCCAAAGGTGGAGATGCACTCACCGATTCTTCTCATAAACACTGTGCAGGGCAGTTTGGGTACCAGCCACGTCCTAAAGATCTGACAGGATCAACACGGACTTCATAGTTTTTTAAGTCCAATGGGAGTTGTGCAGTAGGGGATTTCGTTCTCCAAATTTTGTAGCTGTAACTTTACTTTTCTCTGTTGCAGGGACACCTCAGGGCAGGGAAGATTTTGCACCATTTTCAGATCCTACTCTAGAGGAGCCCAGGTAAGTGCTGCTCTCAGTCCTTTGGGGCGTGTTTGCTTTTCCTTCAGGATGTAAAAATCCTTCATGCCGTAAAAATCCTTCATGCCATAGTAAAAAACTCTGAAGAGGAACGCATCAAGCATCGAAAGGATGGGATCTGTGTGAATACCAAGAGGCACTGCATGCCGTCTTGCTGCCTGGTATTCTGTTTTTATGAAGTGGTGGGACAGAGGGGAGTGAATGACAGACTTCCCTAGACTCCTACAGAAAAGGTCTGTTACAGACTATATTTGGTTTTAGTTCCTAGAGAAGGGCTGAGAAGATGGGGTTATAGGCGACAAGGCAATTCTAGCTCTAGACCTGCCTTAGCTTTAATGTGGGAGCTCGTACTTTGTGAGGTTTGTCAAATTTGTTTAAATATCACACTGGCTTTCCCAACGGAGTTCTTCAGTCCGTAGTGCCTTCAAGTCAGTTCCAAAAACAGGGTAGTTCCTACTGTCATGTTTGTTGCAGACTTGAAACTAGAGCAGCTCAAGTGGATGGTAAAGTGCGTTCCTTAAAACGTGAGGCAGAACGTTTACATTTTGAGTTTGGGTCCTCATCTGGAATAGCATCTGGATTTTGAACAGCAGAACAATCTTGTGGTCCTCTGAAAAACTGCTCTTAGTTAATAGAGCTTTCTTATAGTTTTGTTGTCATCCGTTTTATAATGTGACACGGTCCTTCCAGGATAAAGTCTCCCTAAGCTAAATGAAATACTGTATTTTTCCTTTTGTTTCCAAATCGGGAAAGCTTTGGAGAAAATCCCTCCTCACTTAGACACTAAGAGTCGGAAGCTATATATCAAGCTCCTGACTGTGCCAGCGTCCTGGCAGCTTCCCAGCCTTTGGGAAACTTTGCCACTTTTATTCAAGTTCTTGCCACTATTGCTCTTGGCTTTTTGCTCCACGTAGCTGTAGACTTTTGCTTTGCTAACTGGCAAAATCCACCATGCCCTCTTTCCCGAAGACTTCCTTCAAATTCACTTGTGCTGTAGAGGTGAGAGCGCTTCACCTGGGATGTGCTGTTGATATGTCCTCTGGTGTCTCGTTAATTCTTGTTTGTGCACATCTCTGGGGTTGTGGACGCTTTGAGGCAGCTCCTTTGAAGCAGAGGCCAATTTCCTGATGATTGCAGAAGTGCAAGGCAAGGAGCGTTGGAGCGTGCCTTCCGCAGGGGGAGAGTACGGGATCTCTCCTTCACATGCACCGTCCCAGGTGTGAGTTTATCTTTAAGCTTCCCTCTGCCCGTACTACGTTTCAGAAATAGCATTTGAGAGTTTTTACCCCTGTCTGCAGCATGACCCGCTTTTCCAAACTGCTGTACAAAAGACTTTCTCCCCTTCGCGAAGACTGTGAGCTCCTCGGAGCACGTGCTGTGTCTCCACAAGGCTGCACCCAGCAGAGCCTGCACCCGCATGCCTGAACCCGTAGCTGCTGCCTGAACCCGTAGCTGCTGCCACCATACATACATGAGCAGCGATGAGAATACTTGAACTGGATGGAGAAACAGGTCCACATCTGTTTAGAAACTGCAGTGGAGCTGTTGGGCACTTGCACAGTGCCTCCTTTGGGTTCCTGCAGCCTGTTCTCCTTCCTAGACGCTATGTTTGACACTGGATGTCATAAGGTGTCGTGCATCTGACTGACCTTAAGTTTGAAATTGAAGATTGCTTTCATCTTCCTTTCCCAAAATGAACTTCTTGACCTTCTTTGCATTGGAGGCAACGTCTTGCCCTTCTGCTGTACTTACCGGTATTGCTTTAGGAACTCTCAGCTGAACATCTGCAAGGTTTGCCTTACCCATCTTATCTGCTTACCCCTCCCAGGAAGAAGTCTGTCCGGGAGACGCTCACCATAAACCTCACCAGCCAGGCAGAGGGACCTTTAATGCAATTGCTTTATAGCTGAATGCTGGGGTACGCAGCAAGGTGTGGCTTCTGCCTTTTCCTCGAGGCCTGCGTTCTGCTTGTGCCACAAACGCCTTTTCCAAAGTACTGCTGTGATGCCTTAATCCTGATCTGCCTAAACACTCAACCCTTGCCCTTAAAAACAACAAAACAGTCCTAAAAAGCAAACCTGCCCAGTAGGAGGAGGGGTAGTTCCCACCTGGGGTATCTCTGCTGCCCTCTGAAGTGCTCATGAGATGAGCAGGGTGGACAGCGCGTGCCTCTTGAAGACTAATGCCTAGAGTCCTTGTAGTCTTCTCCAGGTGGCTTGGAGTAAAACTTAGATTGGTTTCAGCATCAGGTGATCGGCTCCCGTGTGGCAATACGGCAATATTCCTGTGTTAGCAGGAACGCAGATGTTGTCCCTCCTAAATAACTCACCGCATCTTTCAATGGAGGAGGAAAGTATTTTAAGTTAAACTCTTAATGTTAACCAAAGCAAGAGGACAGTTTGTTTTGAATAACAAATGTCTGTCCGGCTGCAAGAATGGACTTCAGCACCTCCAGTTACTGTCAGTATGGAGAAGCTAACTTCTTCTGGCACAGCGTTAGCATAAAGGCAGCTTAACCCAGTGGGGTCTCGGGGGAATAGAGATAAATTGCTCCCAAGTTCTCTTTATTTGTTCAAGGTGTATTTAATGCTGCCTGCTGTACTGACTTCTTTGCTTCAGCTGTCTGCTTTCCTCTCTGCTCTATTAGCATCATCAGACTTAGACTTCTGCTGTAGGAAGCCTGATGCTTCCAGTCGGAGGCAAGAGAAGCAGCTTTTTTAACCTAACAAGCCAAAAGCTCAGGAAGAATAAACACAGCAGAGAAGAGAGACGCCAGGGTGGGAAAAGCTCTGTTTAAAGTCGGGTGTGATATTTGTACAAGAACGGTTTGGTGTAAACTGCCCACGAGCAGCTTCACGCTGAAAATTAGCGAAAGGCGAGTAGAGAACTGAGACTCTGAACTGAGCTTCCCGTAAGGAGCACAAGAGGAGCTTGAATGAGTTTCCAAAGAGGACTTTGACAGGTTGGCTGTGAGAGCCGGGGGCTGGCCTCAGCGACCCGGCAGCCCTTACGGGGGTGACTGGGAACAGGGTGAGTCGGGCCGACCGGCCAGTGCTTAGGAGAATACTTGGCATGAAAAGTGCCTTCAGGTACACCTGACTTTGCCACACACCTTCTTGCTTCTCAGGTGTTGTGATAAGAACTGAATCTTCGGAAGTAAACCCCGGAGAGGTCACAAAGTGGAAAAACAGTCTCTGAATGGGGAGCAGACCTTCTCGGGAGTTTTCCTTTCCCCCAGAGCACAGCCTCGTGCTTTGCTCACCCTGGGCTGCAGGCCAGTCCCTCCCCAGTGAATGGACTCTTCTTGAGCACCTCCGTGCCTTCTCCGGTTTAGACTCCACACCAGTTGCTTGGGTACAAAGCCACGTGGCTTTCGTGTTCAGAAGGAACTTCTTCTTCTTCAAAACATCTAAAGTGAAATAGCTTTGCTGCCCTTGACGAACTGGCTTCAAATGAGGACCAGTCCCTTCTTTCAGCCAAGGTGGACCAGCCATGTTTGCCTCGGGATTTGCTGTGAGGAACACACATTTGCCCAGCTGATCTGATCCTCCTTAGGGAGGCGATGAGCTCTTTGGCTCAAGGTGGAGGCTTGTGGCGTACTGGTGTGCCTGGGACCCCCCTCCTTTTCTCTTCTTGCTTCCCTGGGGTTTGAATGTCCGCTTTCTTATCACAGCTGCCTTCACCATCCCTTCCCTTTTAGGGTCTGCTGGGCCCGCAGGTCTCGCTTTGGGACAAAAGAGGAGTAATTGTGTCCGGGAGAGCAGAGCACTGGCCTCTGGGCACTGGTGGAACAGGGAGAGTGTGCAGGCCACGTCATGGTGACTGCAGGGCCAGGGGAGGGTAGAGATGGAAACCCAGCAGCGTCGTGACCTGCAGAACAACCTCGGGGAGTCTGGAGCTTGCTGTGTTGCAGAAAGATTTTTTATATTAATTGTCACTGTGTAGTGTGAGATGAAAGGCATTTAGTGGTGCTTAAAGGTGCTTCGGAAATCTTACGTTTTGCTCTTGAACTTCTGCTCTTTGGCTTTTTCTGCTTGGCTATGAGGTCTCAGTCGCACCGCCAGCAGAGCTGGCACTCTGATCTCGACTCTTGCGTGCAGCTGCGGCTCTTGTGGCTGCTGTGAGGAAATGTAAGCTATTCTGAGAGTCGTCACAGAGGGGAGAGAGAGGGTTGTGGGGCTGCTTTCTGATCTACCAGGGGAGAAGCAATGCCGGTATCATTCTTCACGTCCTCACATGCCAGCGATTTCAACTGTTTCTGGAAACGTGGCTTGCCGACGCTTCCCAGACAGAGTGATACAGAAGGTCCTTCGTGAATAGTTTCAGACCATCTACAGGAAGCCGTAATCACCATTCAGAAACGCTCCTGTCTTACAGCAATGCTGCAGCCCTAGCAGAATAATGAATATTGTTGAGTTCCGCTTAGGCAGGTGGTTTGAGTAGCTGCTGTTTATCCTGTTCAGGGCTTCTTAGTATGCAGAGAGGTGGTGGCTTTTTTTTGGCAGCTCAGCAGCCTCAGAGATGTAGGCTCCACTCTTACTCGCTTTGTTGCTGCAAGTACTTTACCTGCCTCGGGCCATTTTGATGGGCTTGTCCAGCTGCTGGAGGAGTCTGCCCTGCCTGCCAAAATGTTTGTCAAAAGCTCAGTGATAAATAAATCCCCCCCCCCATTGTGTTATGCTGTTGGGAAATGGTTTGGCAGCGGGATGTAATTGCCCATGAGCCAAGGTCCCAGGCGCCAGCTGGAAAGCTGTGACCAAACGTAGCTCCGAAAGAGCAGGCGGGGGAGACAAAGTGTTCTGGTTGCCGTCAGCGCTGGGTCTTTTGTTTATGGTTTACTTCAGTCTGTGGGCCAGAGAAATCCAGTCTGGGGGGTCTTCTAGGCTGCTTCTGCAACAGCTGTTTTTCCATCGGTGGAGGATACCAGTGAGTGGCGCTTTCCTGGCCACCCTGTCGTCTGCCTGCACTGAGCTGAGCCTTTGGCAGCCGTGCGAGCGCTTGCTTCCCCCCGGCTGTGTTCTTGCGTGCTTGTGTGAGGGGCTGGAGATGCAGCTCGTAAAGCATCTGAGAAGCCTTTTTGGACCGATGGGTGAGCGTGCTGCTTCTCTCTCACCTTTAAAAGCTTGTTGCTGAGAAGCCTGGGCTAAACCTGCAGCAGGCAGGCAGGGATGATGCTCCCTATTTATTTTTTTTTTATTCCCCCTTGGTTATGTGGACAGACCCTTGTGTAAG